TTATCATAAATGGGTGTTGAATTTTGTCGAAAGCTTTCTCTGCATCTATTGAGATGATCATATGGTTTTTCTCCTTCAGTTTGTTAATATGGTGTATCATGTTGATTGATTTCCGTATGTTGAAGAATCCTTGCATTCCTGGAATAAACCCTACTTGATCATGGTGTATGATCTGTTTAATGTGCTGTTGGATTCTGTTTGCTAGTATTTTGTTGAGGATTTTTGCATCTATGTTCATCAGTGATATTGGTCTGTAGTTTTCTTTCTTTGTGACATCCTTGTCTGGTTTTGGTACCAAGGTGATGGTGGCCTCGTAGAATGAGTTGGGGAGTGTTCCTCCCTCTGCTATATTTTGGAAGAGTTTGAGAAGGATAGGTGATAGCTCTTCTCTAAATGTTTGATAGAATTCGCCTGTGAAGCCATCTGGTCCTGGGCTTTTGCTTGTTGGAAGATTTTTAATCACAGTTTCAATTTCAGTGCTTGTGATTGGTCTGTTCATATTTTCTATTTCTTCCTGATTCAGTCTTGGCAGGTTGTGCCTTTCTAAGAATTTGTCCATTTCTTCCAGGTTGTCCATTTTATTGACATAGAGTTACTTGTAGTAATCTCTCATGATCTTTTGTATTTCTGCAGTGTCAGTTGTTACTTCTCCTTTTTTCATTTCTAATTCTATTGATTTCAGTCTTCTCCCTTTTTTTCTTGATGAGTCTGGCTAATGGTTTATCAATTTTGTTTATCCTTTCAAAGAACCAGCTTTTAGTTTTATTGATCTTTGCTATCGTTTCCTTCATTTCTTTTTATTTCTGATCTGATTTTTATGATTTCTTTCCTTCTGCAAACTTTGGGGTTTTTTTGTTCTTCTTTCTCTAATTGCTTTAGGTGTAAGGTTAGGTTGTTTATTCGAGATGTTTCCTGTTTCTTAAGGTAGGATTGTATTGCTATAAACTTCCCGCTTAGAACTGCTTTTGCTGCATCCCATAGATTTTGAGTCGTCGTGTCTCCATTGTCATTTGTTTCTAGGTATTTTTTGATTTCCTCTTTGATTTCTTCAGTGATCACTTCGTTATTAAGTAGTGTATTGTTTAGCCTCCATGTGTTTGTATTTTTTACAGATCTTTTCCTGTAATTGATATCTAGTCTCATAGTGTTGTGGTCAGAAAAGATACTTGATACAATTTAAATTTTCTTAAATTTACTAAGGCTTGATTTGTGACCCAAGATATGATCTATCCTGGAGAATATTCCATGAGCACTTGAGAAAAATGTGTATTCTGTTGTTTTTGGATGGAATGTCCTATAAATATCAATTAAGTCCATCTTGTTTAATGTATCATTTAAAGCTTGTGTTTCCTTATTTATTTTCATTTTGGATGATCTGTCCATTGGTGAAAGTGGGGTGTTTAAGTCCCCTACTATGAATGTGTTACTGTCGATTTCCCCTTTTATGGCTGTTAGTATTTGCCTTATGTATTGAGGTGCTCCTAGGTTGGGTGCATAAATATTTACAATTGTTATATCTTCTTCTTGGCTCGATCCCTTGATCATTATATAGTGTCCTTCTTTGTATCTTCTAATAGTCTTTATTTTAAATGCTATTTTGTCTGATATGAGAATTGCTACTCCAACTTTCTTTTGGTTTCCATTTGCATGAAATACCTTTTTCCATCCCCTCAGTTTCAGTCTGTATGTGTCTCTAGGTCTGAAGTGGGTCTCTTGTAGACAGCAAATATATGGGTCTTGTTTTTGTATCCATTCAGCCAATCTGTGTCTTTTGGTGGGAGCATTTAGTCCATTTACATTTAAGGTAATTATCGATATGTATGTTCCTATTCCCATTTTCTTAATTATTTTCGGTTCGTTATTGTAGGTCTTTTCCTTCGTTTTTGTTTCTTGCCTAGAGAAGTTCCTTTAGCATTTGTTGTAGAGCTGGTTTGGTGGTGCTGAACTCTCTCAGCTTTTGCTTGTCTGTAAAGGTTTTAATTTCTCCATCAAATCTGAATGAGATCCTTGCTGGGTAGAGTAATCTTGGTTGCAGGTTTTTCTCCTTCATCACTTTCAATATGTCCTGCCACTCCCTTCTGGCTTGCAGAGTTTCTGCTGAAAGATCAGCTGTTAACCTTTTGGGGATTCCCTTGTGTGTTATTTGTTGTTTTTCCCTTGCTGCTCTTAATATGCTTTCTTTGTATTTAATTTTTGACAGTTTGATTAATATGTGTCTTGGTGTATTTCTCCTTGGATTTATCCTGTATGGGACTCTCTCTGCTTCCTGGACTTGATTAACTATTTCCTTTCCCATATTAGGGAAGTTTTCAACTATAATCTCTTCAAATATTTTCTCAGTTCTTTCTTTTTCTCTTCTTCTTCTGGAACCCCTATAATTCGAATGTTGGTGTGTTTAATGTTGTCCCAGAGGTCTCTGAGATTGTCCTCAGTTCTTTTCATTCTTTTTCCTTTATTCTGCTCTGCAGTAGTTATTTCCACTATTTTATCTTCCAGGTCACTTATCCGTTCTTCTGCCTCAGTTATTCTGCTATTTATCCCATCTAGAGTATTTTTCATTTCATTTATTGTGTTGTTCATCATTGTTTGTTTCATCTTTAGTTCTTCTAGGTCCTTGTTAACTGTTTCTTGCATTTTGTCTATTCTATTTCCAAGATTTTGGATCATCTTTAGTATCATTATTCTGAATTCTTTTTCAGGTAGACTGCCTATTTCCTATTCATTTGTTAGGTCTGGTGGGTTTTTATCTTGCTCCTTCATGTGCTGTGTGTTTTTCTGTCTTTTCATTTTGCTTATCTTACTGTGTTTGGGGTCTCCTTTTTGCAGGCTGCAGGTTCGTAGTTCCTATTGTTTTTAGTGTCTGTCCCCAGTGGCTAAGGTTGGTTCAGTGGGTTGTGTAGGCTTCCTGGTGGAGGGTACTAGTGCCTGTGTTCTGGTGGATGAGGCTGGATCTTGTCTTTCTGGTGGGCAGGTCCACGTTTGGTGGTGTGTTTTGGGGTGTCCGGGTCCACGTCTGGTGGTGTGTTTTGGGGTGTCTGTAGACTTATTATGATTTTGGGCAGCCTCTCTGCTAATGGGTGGGGTTGTGTTCCTGTCTTGCTAGTTGTTTGGCATAGGATGTCCAGCACTGTAGCTTGCTGGTCGTTGAGTGAAGCTGGGTGCTAGCGTTGAGATGGAGATCTCTGGGAGATTTTCACCGTTTGATATTATGTGCAGCTGGGAGGCCTCTTGTGGACCAGTGTCCTGAAGTTGGCTCTCCCACCTCAGAGGCACAACACTAACTCCTGGCTGCAGCACCAAGAGCCTTTCATCCACACAGCTCCTTAATTTGGGATGATTCGTTGTCAATTCATGTATTCCACAGATGCAGGGTACATCAAGTTGATTGTGGAGCTTTAATCCGCTGCTTCTGAGGCTGCTGGGAGAGATTTCCCTTTCTCTTCTTTGTTCTCACAGCTCCCAGGGGCTCAGCTTTGGATTTGGCCGCGCCTGTGCGTGTAGGTCGCCGGAGGGCCTCTGCTCTTCGCTCAGACAGGTCGGGGCCAAAGGAGCCGCTGATTCGGAGGCTCTGGCCCACCCAGGCCAGGGGGGTAGGGAGGGTCACGGAGTGCGGGGTGGGCCCGCGGCGGCAGAGGCCGGCTCGATGCTGCAGCAGCCCGAGGCGCGCCGTGCGCTCTCCCGGGGAAGCTGTCCCTGGATCCCGGGACCCTGGCAGTGGCGGGCTGCACAGGCTCCCCGGAAGGGGGGTGTGGACAGTGACCTGTGTTCGCACACAGGCTTCTGGGTGGCGGCAGCAGCGGCCTCAACGTCTCATGTCTGTCTCTGGGGTCCGCACTCTCAGCTGCGGCTCACACCCGGCTCTGGAGCTCCTTTAAGCAGTGTTCATAATCCCCTCTCCTCGCGCATCAGGAAATAAAGAGGGAAGAAAAAGTCTCTTGCCTCTTCGGCAGGTCCAGACTTTTCCCCGGACTCCCTCCCAGCTAGCCGCGGTGCACTAATGCCCTGCAGGCTGTGTTCAGGCCGCCAACCCCAGTCCTCTCCCGGCGCTCCTCAGCTCCCAGCCCCGCCCGCCCCGGCGGGTGAGCAGACAAGCCTCTCGGCTGGTGAGTGCCGGTCGGCCCCTGTCCTCTGCGCTGGAATCTCCCCGCTTTGCCCTCCGCACCCCTGTTGCTGTGCTCTCCTCCGCGGCTCCGACGCTCCCCCACTCCGCCACCGCAGTCTCTGCCCGCGAAGGGGCTTCCAAGTGTGTGGACACTTTTCCTCCTTCACAGCACCCTCCCGCTGGTGCAGGACCCGTCCCTATCCTTTTGTTTCTGTTTATTTTTTTTCTTTTGCCCTAACCAGGTACGCGGGGGGTTTCTTGCCTTCTGGGAGGTCTGAGGTCCTCTGCCAGCGTTCAGTAGATGCTCTGCAGGAGTTGTTCCACGTGTAGATGTATTTCTGGTGTATCAGTGGGGAGGAAGGTGATCTCCGCGCCTTACTCTTCCGCCATCTTCCCGGAAGTCCTGTTTAAATATTTTCTAATAGAAGTTCTAGAATATCAGAGAAGATGGGGTGGTAAAATTGACAAAGAAATAATTCATGAGAGTCCCTAGAACAGAGAAAAAAAAATTACTCCATATTGAAAAGTTATTAACTGAGTACCAGCCCAATGGATTAAAATGTTCCCAACCAAGATATACCATTATCATGCAATTTTGTAATACCAGAAATAGGAGAAAAGTTTTCAGAGGGAAAAAAGAAAACACACCAAAACACAGGATTGTGTGATTATAGTATTCTAGCAATACAGAGAAAACTCTAAAATGTTTCTGAAGAAATTTTTAAAAAGTTATTTACAAAGAATGACTTAAAATTACAAAATTAGAAAATTACAACACTTTCAAAACATGTCTATATTTGTAAGTCTTGAGCATAGGCATATGCTTCCAAAAATGTATCAGGATTCTTTTTCATGATATGAAGCAAGGTGTTATGCAGTTGATTTAGCGTGTGTGTGTGTGTGTGTAAAATGCTTCATGAATTTGCATGTCGTCTTTGTGCGGGGGCATGCTAACCTTCTCTGTATCATTCCAGTTTTAATATATGTGCTACTGAAGCAAATACTCATTTAGGATTTTGATTAATATAAATACTAGTAACTAAAATAATCAGAAAAACTATTTTAAGTGTTGCAAATAGGGATCACATATTACTGCAATAGGAGAGACAATAAATCTTTCTAAATCACTAACTACCCTGTGCTGGACCTAAGGACGCTAGAAAGTAAAATATTGATGTATTGACAACTATTTAAGTGTTACATGTTTAGAAAATATTAAACATTTTAATTTAAAAAAAGGTAAATTGTGGAAATTTACCATTTTGATCACTGCAACATGTGATAGTGACTGGATATCATCCCTGATAATTATGGGTTTCTATGTAACAGTGAAATGTAATCACAAAGAACAGCCATCACAGGAAGCAGAACTTGAAAAAAGGTATTTATCATTATATCACTTGATTCATTCCTATGTTATGCAGTCTTGGCACCTGTGTGCCAGAGAATTTAGCCTCTACATTTCCAAAAAGTATTTTGAAAGTCACTATGAATATTCTAGTTTTTATTCCTTCTCAAAGAAAGTCATCTCTTTCCTTTTCCTCTTTTTTATATTGCATGATATGCACCTTGGTAGCAGGGAATAGAGAGGAGAAATATGTTTCTTTGCTATTAAAATAGAGACTCATAAACAATGTGTTTCTATGGCCATAGTGCCTGTGCATGCGCCAGTATATGTATGTTAACCTCATCAGCGTTTAATCCTTAACTGTACTATAGGAGATTACTTAGTACAGGATTTCTTTTTATAACCTCATAGAAGTGAGTTTTGAAGGAGGAATACTTTTTGTTGTGTTATTTACTGCATGCGGTGCAGCTCAGTAAATAAATTGTACACAGATATAGTTTATTGTATAAAGGAGAACTCTGTCCAGAGCAAAGATGACTACACTGGCATGCTCCGCACTAATCCCTCATGCTTTTTGTATTTGTGCCAAAGTACTTTTGGTAATATTAATTGAGAGGGAACCACATGGTATTTTAAATAGAGTCATGGGAATTTGTCCCATTATACAGCTGAGTAACTGTACAAAACATCCATCAGTAGTGACCACAACATAGAATATTGCATTGTGGCATCAACCCAAGACATTACATTTACCTAATCATTGACTTCACATTTATCTCAATCTATTTCAAGACAAGAAATGAAATGTTTGCTGCAAAATTACATTTCCAGCAATTTCTGATAAAGGAAGGAGATGAACTTTGGAGCAGTTGTTTTCTAAATGGATTTTTAAGACATGTTATATTGGGTCTTGAGTACATTGATTTGTATTGGACCAAAAGGCACAGGTTGAAAGGGGACAACTCTCCAGTAGAAGAGAGAGTTGGAAGGAGATTGCTTGTTCCCTGAATCAGAGGCATCAAGCCAAATTTAAAAACCTGCTCACAGAGCAAATTTCTTTTGATTCCTTAAAATAAAATTTCAAAACCCTATAAGCACAGTGACATCTTATATCTTTTGGGACATTTTAAAGAGAAAAATGCATTACTTCAGTAGATAGTTCAAAGAATTGGAAATGGGATATAGGACCTTTTACCCCTGGGTTACCATATGATGAATGCCACCCAGGTTTAAAATGATCACAATTCTTTCCATTGTGTTGCACTGTGGTCATTTAAGGAGTAGTCATAAGATTTCATCAAGATAGAAACCCTTGGATTCCTGGATAGGAGGCTATCATAGATCATTTATTTTGATTTCTGAACCTGAAAAAAAACTATGCTAGTTGTTTGTGAGAATATATTGACTTATCGTAAAGCAGAATAAAAGGCAAAGCTCTCCCTAGCTTAGCATTTATATTTTATTAATGAAGCACGCAAACATAAAGCCTTTAATTGTTTTATCCCCAGCTAAAATAACTACAGATTCTCTTTCCATTCACTAAATCAAATCCATTTTTTAATTCCATTAAACTATTTGCTTCAGTATTATCGTGTGGAAATAAAATGCATTAATAAAAACAAAGTTTAATTCTTATCTCTTAATACCATTAACTGTTTTTCTCATCCTTTTAGCAGATAAAATGTAAATAAGAAGGCAAATAATAATATACAGATAGCATTTTCTCTTCCCTTTTCATAATTTTGGTAGTTATATTTCTCCACCATTAAGGACGATGAGTTTGCTTTTTTTTGGTTTTGGTTCAGTGCTTCCCTTTGGAATTCAATTTTAAAACATTTATCAACATAAAGCATCCATACAAATGGGTTGCATGGAAATTCCAAGCTATTTTGAAGAGAACCTGAGAGGTTCTTGTGCAGTCAATAACCAATCTTATCCCTATCTTGCTTTCAAGCTATTGAATTCAGGGAATGGTTGTGTCCCAGGAATCTCTCATCAAGGGATCTTGGTTTTAAGAGCATCTGATGGGACTAATCAGTGATTCTGTGGTCGCCTTCTATTCAGAGTATCAGGTCATGCACTACTCTGGCACAGAGAGTTGCTTATTTTTCTAGAGAAAGAACGTTAGAAAAGAAGTGGTTAAAAAAAAGAAAAAGAAAGAAAGAAAAACAGAAACACAAACAAAACAAAAACCTTGCAATGTTCTCCTTTTGAATAAATCCAGGGTTATTCATTTGATTTTGAATTCAAGATGCCATGGTTCAAAAAGTGTTTATTTATAAATTTTTTTTTCCATTTCTCTCTCCAAATTATAGATAAAATAGCTGGCTTTAAAATGGAAAATAAATTGTTATTGGCCATTTCAGACTTGTAAATAATCTACTCAAAGGCTTACAAATGGATGGAATGCAAATTCCTATTTCAAAGAGAACCTGAGAGGTGTTATTTTAATGATTTATGAAGGAAACTGGTGTGATGATATATTCAAAATGCATCTGAGCCTCTCATTTCTTCACTCTCCAATATTCAGACGTTCTTTCCCTCCTTATCTTTCTTATTCTCTTTCTTCCCTTTATCCCTCTCTCTCATTCTCTCTTTAATGCTCTGAAAGGAAATCAGCATGTTTTTGACTTTTCCATTATTGCTTCAGTTTTGGGAGAAGACTAGATGATAGATATCCAACTGATTGTAAAAATAGAGTTTAAATCTGTGGAGTTACAAGCAGGTTGATATCAATAAATTATATTCCTGAAGAGCATAAGCACATAGCAAACTAGAGTGCTGAACAACTTTTAGGTGATGGTATTGAATTTCATATTTCATGGTAGAGTCATGAGTTTGAAGCTGGTAAAATTTATAAAGATCATACTCTAATTGAATGTGATGATTTCAGTGCATAATTCATCATTTCATATCAAATCTGCATCCCAGAAGACAGTCTATATCTATGAAAAAACATTATTAATGGGTAAATATGAGATTAGATGATCAGAGACTACATTGTATCACATGAAGCTATCATAAGTGATAACTAATAATATACTATATGCACTATACTTTCTTCTTCTTTGGTTTTGACTGAGATTATGTAGGATGTGTAAAGGTATTAATGTCATCTACAAATAAATGTATGGAAATACTTTTTTTAGCATGTTCCATATGTGGAGTTACTTTTGCAGTGATTTTTGTTTTGATATTTTGTTTTCATTTAAATGAGTTTAGCTCTTATCTGTTGGCACTCCACCTTAAATTATCCATGATATTGACTCAGATCCACATTTTACATTGTGTAAAACAAGTCAATGACAATCTACACCCCCGACCTCTGCCTCAAGATTAGGGTAATTCTCTTTGTGGCTTACATCATCATAATCCTCTCTGGCTCAGAGCTGCTTCTTCAACAGATTAATTTCATGGATCAACTCAGTATCCTATCCCTGCTTCCCATTCCACCCACACTTGGATGTAAACTGTCCACTCGTGAAACTACACACACAGTCTCATGAGATATTTGTGTGTGCTGCATAGTTTACTTATCAATTTAGGAAATGGTAAAAACATCCCCCACATTGTCTATTTCTGACTAAATAATAGCATTTGTTCTAAAAGTAGGTTTTTTTCCTCCCCAAATTTTCACTGGTAATTATTCATTTGCCATGCTGCTCAAATAATGTCTGTCCTCATGACACCTTTTTGATTGTTTTTCCTTCCTTTACTCTTCTCACTTTTCATGGTGGAGAAATCATTAGGGAAGCAAACAAAAGATTCTATGTATTCCTCATGCAAAGGAATTTAGTACTTCCTCATTTTCCCCTTTCCATCTAGACTGTGACAGTGACCCTTTTCTCCATCAAAGATGTTTCTGAGCAAGGACAGTTAACCCTCAGGACAACTTCTTATTATGTTTTTTCAATACTGTAAGTATTTATATAGATAAAATGTGAGACAATGGAATCTGTTACCCATATACAATCCAGTTTGTCAAGATCATATTTTCTTCCAAGAATATAAGAACCTGGTAATCACACTCAGCAATTTGTCACTGGTTGGTCTCTCACCAAATAACATGTAGTTAATTATTATCCTGAAATCAATTTTCTTCCAACCCCAAGTATATGGGAACACCACCAATGGAATTTTTGCTAAATTCACACGTTAGGATGCTGATGACTTCAGTGGTACACTTTTTAAAAATTTAACTCTTATTATGTACCTACCAAAGTATGAGACACTGAGATTATAGCAGTGTAGACAAAAAATCACAGAACATCTCTTATAGAGCTCACTAACAGAAAAGTTAGATCTTTCTCAAAGCTGTATCCTTCTGGTGATTTAGCTTCCAGTGTCCTAAAAATTGATGATTTCAGGGCCAGGGAGCTTCAGTTTGAAATCTTGATATAGCTTTTGAATATTTCCCAGCACCAGTTGAATATAAATAAATAATAATACTGCTAAATACACCACTGGTATCAGTACATTACCTGTATGATGAGATTCCCCAAAAGATCACCAAAAAATTATATTGAAGTATAACTAAGTTTATTACACTTTCTGCAGTAAGACAGAACATTTTGAAATAGCTTTAGTAGTGTCTCAGAAGAGGGAATTCAGGAGAGGGTATGTATAGGATTTTTAAAGCCTGGGCTAAGTGA